AGAAATGTCTGGAATAAAAGGAAAAGGATACAAACATTGTCCAGAATAAGAGGAAAAGAATATAGACATTCTCTGGAATAAAATGAAAAGGATACATTGTCCAGAATAAGAGGAAAAGGATAGAAATGTCTGGAATAAAAAGAAAAAAAGGATACAAAACATTGTCCAGAATAAGAGGAAAAGGATAGAAATGTCTGGAATAAGAGGAAAAGGATACAAACATTGTCCAGAATAAGAGGAAAAGAATATAGACATTCTCTGGAATAAAATGAAAAGGATACATTGTCCAGAATAAGAGGAAGGTTTTAAAAGGATAGAAAATGTCTGGAATAAAATGAAAAGGATACAAACATTGTCCAGAATAAGAGGAAAAAAGGATAGAAATGTCTGGAATAAAAGAAAAGGATATAAACATTGTCCAGAATAAGAGGAAAAGGATAGAAATGTCTGGAATAAGAGGAAAAGGATACAAACATTGTCCAGAATGAGAGGAAAAGAATATAGACATTCTCTGGAATAAAATGAAAAGGATACATTGTCCAGAATAAGAGGAAAAGGATAGAAATGTCTGGAATAAAAGGAAAAGGATACAAACATTGTCCAGAATAAGAGGAAAAGGATAGAAATGTCTGGAATAAGAGGAAAAGGAAACAAACATTGTCCAGAATAAGAGGAAAAGGATAGAAATGTCTGGAATAAGAGGAAAAGGATACAAACATTGTCCAGAATAAGAGGAAAAGAATATAGACATTCTCTGGAATAAAATGAAAAGGATACATTGTCCAGAATAAGAGGAAAAGGATAGAAATATCTGGAATAAAAGGAAAAGGATACAAACATTGTCCAGAATAAGAGGATAAAAGGATAGAAATGTCTGGATGTCTGGAAAAGAAAAAGGATACAAACATTGTCCAGAATAAGAGGAAAAGGATAGAAATGTCTGGAATAAAAGAAAAAGGATACAAACATTGTCCAGAATAAGAGGAAAAGGATAGAAATGTCTGGAATAAGAGGAAAAGGATACAAACATTGTCCAGAATAAGAGGAAAAGAATATAGACATTCTCTGGAATAAAATGAAAAGGATACATTGTCCAGAATAAGAGGAAAAGGATAGAAATGTCTGGAATAAAAGGAAAAGGATACAAACATTGTCCAGAATAAGAGGAAAAGGATAGAAATGTCTGGAATAAAAGAAAAAGGATACAAACATTGTCCAGAATAGGAGGAAAAGGATAGTTGTCTGGAATAACAGGGAAGGGATATAAACATTCTATGTAATGACAGGAATAATTATATTGAAATTGTCCTGAATAACTGGGAAAGGATATAAACATTGTTTTTTAATAACAGGAAAAGTATTGTCCTGAATAACAGGAAAAGGATACAATTATTGTCCAGAATAGCAAGAAAAATATGTAGACATTGTTTGGAATAATAGGAAACGAATATAAACATTTTCCGGAATAACAGGAAAAGGATACAAGCATTGTCCTGAATAACAGGAAAATACAAATGAACAGCCATTTATACACACAGACAGATGCATTTTAATATAACATGCATTTATCTTTATTTTTACTGTGTATGTATATACATCCACATTGTCTTTCACACTCCATGCGTATATTAAATAGATCGTATTTATATGAATCCTTTCTTTCTCTATTTATTTCTGCTTAGTAAACTTAGTTCTATCAATTAACAATAGTCTTTTCATGATGTGCAGATTAGATTTTAGATTCTAAGTGATTACAAAAGCAAACCAAACAAAAAAATAAAAATGGAGGAATACAAATTAAAAATGAAACTACAGAAATTTTCACAAAGCCTAAAAACCTGAAGAAAAATAAATAAAGAAAAAGATGGAATGAAAGTAAAAGCCAGAAATCATTTCTACTTTTGTAGACCTTTATTTTATTTTATTTTTTTTTTTTGTTTTCATGCTGGAAATAGATTTATTGAAGATTTTGTTCTCAAGACAATTCCTTTGTGACTTCTCTATATTCTTATCACTGTTGTTACGGCTTGATTGAAGTTGGCCAAAGGCTTTTGTTCATCCTGCCAACAATCTACTCAGTAAATATGAATCTTTCTCAGATTCTTCATTCCGACACTTGTGCTGGTTTGTCCATCAGTCATGGCTTGGCAGTTAGTTGAATATCGGTCGACTTCGATGCAATTGTTTAAATTTAAATTTCCTGGTTTTTAAATGTTTGTAATCTCGCACAGTGAATGTACAGGTGGAGTAACGTATAGCGGCTTGGAATGAGAAATCACAGAGCCAAATTTGGGTTTTACTAAGGGGACAGGAAGTTGTGGAGGGCCGTGATCGCCTACATTGCACATAAAGTAGCTTCATTACATTAACTTATGCGCCATTTATGAAACCATCTCTTGTCCCTACCACCCCAGCTATAGGTAAATATCAGGGCAGATCTTGGTTGGCAACCAGTCTAGGAAAAGGAAAGTTTTGAATTCAAACCAACTTGGAGAAAGTTAAGACCTGTCAGGTTATCTTGCCCAAGACACAGCACTGCTGCTGCAGCTGCACTACATATAGTGTGCCTGTGGCTCTAATTTGTTTGGGGACTTGTAATTGTGAATGGCTATCAGCTCGGAAAAGTTGATGAGTTCAAATCTACAGCATGTCCATTAGCTGTCACACCAAAAAGAACCTGCTGGAACAGGGCAGTCATCTCTCATACAGAGCAGTAATCTTTGTCAGCTCTTTTGGTCTCAACTGCCAAAGCCTTCAGAAACACTCATTTTATAGACCATGACGAAGCAGCCGATTGGTTGAGTGGGAGAGTTTTGCATATGTGTAGGCGCACTCCGCCAATTCTCCCTTCCTCCACCTGCTCTGCAACACCATACGCATGCAATGCGTGGGCATTTTTAGGCATGATGTCATGTATCTTGCTCACAACAATCAGAGTAGCAATTGCTAAAATTTCGGCTATGTAAACTTTTTATGTTAGATCACCAAACACTACACTAGAATTTCCTTAATAAACCAGCCTTAATGATTCAGTGTCGTCGGACCGCCAAGGAACTGATATCACACACCTGGTTAAGACCCACTGATCTAAACTAATATGCGTGGGTGTTTTTGGGTATGATGTCATGTATCTTCCTCACGACAATAACAGGAACCACTTTTGCAGGAATGACCATGGCAAAGGCATGAATCCAATGTTATCAGTTACTTAGCAGGGTAGACTGGGTAAGCCAAATTCAAATTCCAGTTGTGTACAACAATAAACTACATCCGACAGCAAGTTTACATTATTCGGACTATTTTTCTCATCTTTGTCGCCATATTTATTACAACGTTTCAGCCATTGTATGCTCTGGCCTTCTTCAGGTGGTTGGTATGTCAAACTGAACCCTTTATTTCACTCACTGGAGTAGACTGTTCTAGTTCCATGTGCCATGTTTAATGGATGTCAGTTATCAGTCATCTCCTGTTAATTTTTCCTCTGAAAGTTCTCCACTGCCTTAGCCGGGTATTGAAATCACACTCTCTGGGTCCTGTCACTGGATCTAATATATTTTTCCTTTACCCATCACATGATCTAATTATTCCCAGATAAGGCCAATTGTGCTTGCTCTCTGGTGATTCGTGTTGTGTTGGCAGTGACACTTTATTCCTATATAGCAAAGAGTTAAAAAATTATTAGACTTGAGAAGTCTATTATCACTTGTATCCATTGGCTTTATATTGTAAATAAAGCCTGCTGTGCCATAAAACAGACACATTCTGCACATCAAACCTTAAACCCCTGGTATTCCAAAATGGTTACCTATCTAATTACCGACTCAGCTCGATGTTGCTTAACTTTGATGATCATGTGAGAACTGGTATTTTAACATGATATGGCTAGAAGCCAGCATTTAACTAGAAAAAACGAATCAAGTAATGTTAATGGCTTTAAGCCCTATCATGTCTAACTAGAAAAACTAATCAAGTAATGTTAACTTTCCACACTACCTTAAATAAAAGGCTAGGAAGGAAACTGCTGTCAGTACTAGAAAGCGTGATAACAGCTATTAGACTTGACAAGTCTATTACCACTTGTATCCATTGGCTTCAAATTGAAAATAAAGCATGCTGTACTGTAATACAGGTGGCTAACAAATTCCTAGAAACTGAATTGTTTTATTTATATAACTGTCATTTGTACAGAAATGCCTGTGATGGCGTTTCTTTTTCTCATCAAATAAGTTTTCTCTTTTAACTTTTTAATTTCTTGGCAAAAAACAAAAACTTCATAAATCTGTTAAGATAATTTAAATTCAGCTGATAGTTGAAGGATGGCAACATAGAAATGTCTGCAAGTTATCTGCCAATCAGCACTCTTTGAGTCTGGAGGAACCGTGATCCCTCAATCTTTGCTGCCATCACAGCCTTTTACCAAAAGACAAAAAAAAAAATGCTGAAGACTCTGTGGAAGGTCAAACTGATTAAGCTAATCAAATAATCCCATTTTGGGGAAAGATAAATAAATTAAATAATTAAATATCATTGATTGAGAAAGTACTCTGATTCACAAGTTTCCTAGGTAAGGCGGCAAGATGAAAGGAAAAAAGATGATGATGCTGGTGTATTTTTCTTGGGTCTGATGTCAAGGGAGTTGCAATAATTCTGATGTTTTCTCTGATGAAAGCAAGAAATGGCTGAGAAAAGTGGTATCTACTTGCACGTAGGTATATAGAGGTGGAAGTGTTGTGATTTTTGATATGTAATATACATGTTAAAAATTGCTTGTCAAACGTGTATCCTCACCATTGAATCAGAACAGGTGTCCGAAAAAAAAAAATTTTCTTCCCTAGGCTTTCTTCAATAGATGAGATTTTCTGATACTTGGCAGAAGTGCCAATCCAATTGCAGATAGTGCTGTCATTTTTGACAGGTACTATGCTAGAATATTAAAAAAAAAATGTTCATATACTTGCATTAAAATGGTAATATCTGAACGTTGTACTGTTGACTTACGTATGTTGAGCAGAAGACAAGCTGAGCGGAATTTTTCTCTCGCTGACTTGGTTGCAGTTCACAAAAAGCTGATTGAAGGCATGGTATCTTTCAGGTTTTGATTATTTCAACACTTTCAGATAAGAAGGCAAGGAAAAGCAAAAAGACTCTGTCAGCTTTCTTTCGTTCCTTCTCCCGCCTGAAAAAGAAAAAAAAAGAAAACATTGTTCTGTTTTGTCCAATGGAATTAAGTTTTGCATCAACATTTCCTTCTAAATTACTTTGTCAACTCAATTGTTTTTGCTGTAAAGCTTTAGTCTTCCATTATTATTATTATTATTATTATTCTGTGAGAAAGCAGGATGCCAACAAAATTATGCAGGGGCAGTGACATGCAAAGCTTGGGGATGTGCAGGGCCAACTTTTTGATGGTATACTCCTAAGACTAAAGTAAGTGGGTGTATAGGGCCAAGTATTGAGAAATGAAGATATTTTGAATATGTAAAGACAGATGAAACATGAAATAGACACTTTATTCAAATTAAACAAAAACAAAATTCTTATTTCACTCTTTGATTGGATGACTTCTCAATATGGATGCAAGTGGCAGTTACACCCTCTGCCCACTCCTGGGTATGAGTAAACTAATTGATAAATAAGTTGATAATTATTCAATGGTGAATAGAACATTTTTTGTTATTAGTAGTAATATTATCTTGAATTTTATTCTTATTAGATAAAGCATTGTCAGCCATTATTCATTTTTGACTAGGATTTCTTTCATCTTAATTTCAATTGCTTTTTATTACATTAGTAGTATTAGTAGTAATATTATCTTGAATTTTATTCTTATTAGATGAAGCATTGTTGGCCATTATTCATTTTTGACTAGGATTTCTTTCATCTTAATTTCAGTTGCTTTTTATTACATTAGTATTAGTAGTAATATTATCTTGAATTTTATTCTTATTAGATGAAGCTTTGTTGGCCATTATTCATTTTTGCCTAGGATTTCTTTCATCTTAATTTCAATTGCTTTTTATTACATTAGTAATATTAGTAGTAATATTATCTTGAATTTTATTCTTATTAGATGAAGCATTGTCAGCCATTATTCATTTTTGCCTAGGATTTCTTTCATCTTAATTTCAATTGCTTTTTATTACATTAGTAGTATTAGTAGTAATATTATCTTGAATTTTATTCTTATTAGATGAAGCATTGTCAGCCATTATTCATTTTTGCCTAGGATTTCTTTCATCTTAATTTCAGTTGCTTTTTATTACATTAGTAGTATTAGTAGTGGTATTATGTTGAAACATAAAGTTTTAAATATTTTAGAAGTGCAATGCATGTTTTGATGGTATGAGCAGTGACATGCAGATGTTTGATGATACCTGGGGCCAACTCCTTGATTGTATGCCTATAAAACTCAAGTAGGGAGGTGGCCTATATGGCCTGGTATTGAGTAATGTGAAAAAGGAAGACATTTTAAACATGTAAAAACAGATGAAACATGGAATAAACACTTTATTCAATTTAAATATGTTATATAGCATACCTATGAACACTAATGGGTATGTCCCAATCCTCATAAATACGATGGACACTATTGTAAGTGGGGGGTAATATGGTGTCTAAGTAGTCCACCACAAGCAGTGGTTTACCTACTTCACGCTGCTGGCGAGTAATGTATTTTGTTGACGTTATAAAGATTACCATTTCATTTCCAAACTCTGTTTTGGTTATTCCTCATTCAGTAAAATTTTTCTAGGTTATAACGAAAGATAAAATTTTTATTTCACTCTTTGATTGGATGCCTTCTTGATATAGATGCCCAGGGGCATTACACTCCCTGCACCCCCCCCCATTCTGCATGCTACTGTGCAGGGGTACAAAAAAATGACACCCAGAATACCAATCATGCCAGCCAATCTTCTTCTTCTGCTAATTATTATTATTATGCTCTCTCTCTATATATATATTTTGTTAATCATTTCACCTTAAGCATTCTCTTCATCTCTTATTGTTATTCTTGACGTCTTCTATTATTCTACAAATTATTACAACACTTACAGAAAAGCACAGTTTAAGAAAAGAAATAGAAAAGGAAAGAACACCATGTTTAGCAATGTTTTGATAGTATGTCTGCCTTCAAGTTATCCGCTTTGGGAATATCAGTTTGCTGTAATCTTGGATGTGTGGGTGGTGTAATGGATAATGCAACAGAATTCAAATTCAAGAAGCTGAGTTCCAATTCCAGCCAGATTCATTATATTCACTTATGTGCAAATACCCTTAAGAAGGGTATCAATCCACCACTTGCCCCCAGCTATGGGTTAATTAGCAGAACTTGTATCAGAAAATCATTATTAACTCTAAAAAAATTTTCCAATCTAAAAATATTTTCTGGCTTTAAATAATCTGCAAAAATTTTTTAAGCTGTAAAAAAACTTCTCAATTCTTCAAGTTATGTTTAAAATTTACACACAAGTATAAAACATATGAAAGAATTACAATTCTTTGTACAAACATCACTTATCTTTAGAAAAATATTAGTGTTGGTAAGCAATGCAATGAACCATGGTCAGTGTGAATGGAATGCAACTGAAATGTGAGTAACTTGATGGGGCATCGTTCTCTTCTTGAGATTTTACATGAGATTTTCTTGAATAGTTAGTGCAATTAATTAAACAGTTTAGTAGGAATCTTATAGAACTAGTTTGACTGCTGTTGCCAGAGACCATCTTTCTATTGTTAGTATTATGCATTGATTCTGTTGGACCAATTTTTTCATGTGTGTGGCATTGATCACTATTTCAACCACTGCACCCTGCAGCCATCTTTCTATTAGGTTACTCAAAAAATAATATCTGATTTTAGAATAAACCTTCTAATTGTATTCCATTATATTATTATGATAGTTGCCCAAAAATATATTACTCATTCACAATCATTAAAGTGTCCTCTTAATTTAATATTACTCACAGTAATATGATTGGCTGGTGTCAGCCATAAATACAGACTGATGTGGACGTACAGGGAGGATGCCTATTGGCTGCACCTATTGTCTTCGCCTATTGCTTCCCACTATGATGAGGACTGCTAGATTGTCCTACCCGGTTACAGTAGTCAACAGCCACTTTGCTACTTCGAACAAATATATCCCTTTCCGGGACATATCAATTTTATATCAGTCTCTTTCAGAATTTAACTTAAAACATTATATACTCCTAAACCTGAATATTGAGCATGAAAAAAGGAGAGATGTGTTTACTTTTTTTTTTTTTTTTTTATGAGCTCAAGTTAGGTCATAATGATTCTCAAACTGCTGTCAACATTAACAGAGCATGGGGTGAGGTACTCACTTGTGATCACACAGTATAGCACTGGTTTTCAAAGTTTCAGAGTGGGGATAATGAGTGTTGAAGTTCAAGGTAGTGGATGACACCCATCTGCAACTGACAATCAACATTTGAAAACATTATACAAAACAAAATCCATGTCAATGTGTCAGAGAAATGTCTTACATAATGGGTGTTAGCATTTCATTAATGTCAGACCATCTCAAGAAAATTGGCAAAGTGAAGATGCACGATAAATGGGTCTCAGTGAAAGTCAAAGAGTCTGTTGTTTTGAAGTGTGTTTGATGCGACATTTGTGAAATTCAAATGATCTGTTTCTTGATTGAATGGCGACTTGTGATGAGAAAAGGTTGTAAACAATCAGCACAATGGCATAATTATGGCTAACCACCGAAACACCTTCCAAAATCAAAATTGCGCCAAGATTATGATGACTGTCTGGTGGTCCGCCATTGGCGTTATTATGACTTTCTAGAATCTATACAGAGCATTGCTGCCAAAGTTTGCTGTCAGTAATTGGAAGAAATGCATGTTCAGCTGGGCAAAAGGTAATCAGCATTAGTTAATCGATGAGTTCCAATTCTACTTCATGACAATGCTCGGCCACATGTTGCCATGATGACACTGCAGAAGCTCACCAACTGGGGATATGAGACTTTGTGCATATTTCCCTGATCTACAAGTTTTCAAAGCATCTTGAGAAATTTTTTAAGCCAAAAGACATTCCAATGCAAAGAAGATGCAGGGACTGTATTCAAAGATTACTTGGAGTTTTTTGTAAAGATATAAATAACCTTGTAACACAGTGGCAGAAATGTATGGATGTACAGGGTTTCTTATTTTGACTGATTTAAACTGTGTTTAAATACATTAATTCAAGAATAAACGTTGATTCTCAAACTAGACATTATTTTCCGAAGAACCTAATATTTAAATTTTCTGAAAGGAGATTGTTGGGGCGCACCCACCTTCTAACTAGTAATGGACTGGTCCCTCTTATATAAGTCAGCTCTGGAGAGAGAGTGACAGAGCGTCAGAGAGAGAGTCAGCGTTAGCAGTCCAGATAAGCTTACCCGGTACATACCGTTGGACGATAGACTTTGGATAATGTTTCGTACTAACCAATCTTCGTTCTACTAATCACTCTATTGTTAATTGCTTTTATGAATATACCAGTATTTTCCTCTACAACTGTGTTTGTCTTGATTCATACACCGACACGCGGGAACCTCACAACATCTCAACAGAGATGTTGTAATTATCATACATTGATTTCATATGATTTTTTATTTATGCATATATAATTTGTCTCATCATTATTATCTTTATGAGTAATAAATTGTGAACATATTTCGAATTATCATTGATATATTACAATCATATTAATGTCATAATACATTGTGAAATAGACCACAAGGCTGCTACTCTAGCCTCTCTCACTAACAGTCCATAAGCTTCACTCCCTATCTGCCTATCCATAGTTTCTCTCTGTTTGATTTTTTGTCCCCTAGCCTTTCTCCCTATCTGCCTGTCCACGAGCTTCTCTCCCTACCTGCCTGTCCACGAGCTTCTCTATCTGCCTAACCATGGCCTCTCTCTGTATCTGTTTTCCTGTCCATTATCCTTTCTCGCTATCTGCCTGTCCACTATCCTTTCTCGCTATCTGCCTGTCCACTATCCTTTCTCGCTATCTGCCTGTCCACTAGCCTTTCTCGCTATCTGCCTGTCCACTAGCCTTTCTCGCTATCTGCCTGTCCACTAGCCGCTCACTTCGTCTGCCTGTTCACTAGCCTCTCTCATGATCTAACAGTCTATAAGCTTCTCTCCCTAACTGCCTATCTATGGTATCTCTCTGTGTTTGATTGCCTGTCCACTAGCCTTTCTCCCTACCTGCCTGTCCACTAGCCTTTCTCCCTACCTGCCTGTCCACTAGCCTTTCTCCCTACCTGCCTGTCCACTAGCTCCTCTCCCTATCTGCCTAACCATGGCCTCTCTTGTATCTGTTTTCCTGTCCATTAGCCTCTCTTCCTATTTGCCTGTTCACTAGCCTCTCTTCCTATTTGCCTGTTCACTAGCCTCTCTTCCTATTTGCCTGTTCACTAGCCTCTCTTGGAAAATTTGCCTGTTCACTAGCCTCCTCATTCTAACATTGTTTGCCTTTCATCTGCCTATCTCTCTCTCTGTGTTTAACAGTCCATAAGCTTCTCTCCCTATCTGCCTGTCCATGCTTGTTCTCTTATCTCTTGTGAATGTTTTGATTTGCCTGTTGAGCCTCTCCCATCCCTATCTGCCTGTCCATCTGCCTAAAACTTTCTCGTCTATCTGTTTTGTCCATAGCCTCTCTCATTATCTGCCTGTCCAGTAGCCTTTCTCCCTAAATTGCCTGTCCCTGAGCTCTCTCCCTCTCTGCCTGTCTTATTGAGGCCTTTCTCCCCTCTCTGCCTGTCCCTGAGCCTTTCTCCCTCTCTGCCTGTCCCTGAGCCTTTCTCCCTCTCTGCCTGTCCCTGAGCCTTTCTCCCTCTCTGCCTGTCCCTGAGCCTTTCTCCCTCTCTGCCTGTCCCTGAGCCTTTCTCCCTCTCTGCCTGTCCACTGGCTTCTTCCCATGTCTCTCTGTGTCTGCTTTCATGCTGGCCTCACTCTGTGTCTCTTCCTTCCCACTGGTCACTCTCCGTTTCTCCTTGTCTGCTAGCCTCACTCTGCATCTGCCTGCCTATAACCTGTCAGTCTGTTCTTTCCATCGCAGCTTCTGCCTCCCTAGGGTCACTCCATTTCATTCAGCATCCTATCTATCCTCATCTATACAACTGCTTCTACCTTGTATGAAAGATTACACTCATAAACCAGGGTTGAACTGACCCTGGTTTTTACAGTTGGTAATTCAATCCACTTCTGCCATTCTTTGCATCATGAAAACAAAGTGAAGAATTTGAATGATTAAATCCAAGTTTCACACCATAACTGTTGTCTTTTCTGTTTTGTTCTGGTGGTACGTGTTTGTTATGTTCACCTATTTGTGGCAGCACAATCTGAAAGGAGAACTCACAAAAATGTTCGATGTTAAGTGAGGAATCAATCATAGTATGTAATAAAGAGAGACTGGGTTGCTCTTGAGCTGTTCAGAGGAAATTCAGCACTAAAACTGCTGATTAATGGAAGAGAAAAACCTCAGAACCATGACTGGAAAAAAAAAAAAATTCTAGATAAAACAGGAACTTATAGGTTGATATCTACCAATATATATTCCTGTCTTCTGCTTACTTCTGTTTGTTTTGTTTTTTCCTTCTCTTTTTCTTTCTCTTTCTTTTTTCTTCTCTTTTTCTTTCTCTTTCTTTTTTTTTCTCTTTTTCTTTCTCTTTCTTTTTCCTTCTCTTTTTCTTTCCTTGTTTTTCCTTCTCTTTTTCTTTCCTTGTTTTTCCTTCTCTTTTTTTTTCTCCTTCTCTTTTTCTTTCTCTTTTTTCCTTCTCGCTTTCATTTCCTTTCTCTCTCTTTGATTCACTGATCTTTCCAACTCTCCTCTTCTTTGTCTCTGTTTCTTTTCTCTTTGTTTTTCTTTTTATCTTTTTTCTCTTTTTTTTTCTCCACACTTTGATTTACTTACCGTTCTTACTTTTGCTTATTTTCTCTTTCTCTTTCATGTTTTTACTTCATCTCTTTTTCCTTTTGTATACTTCCTCTTTACCTTTTTCTCCCCGATTCTTCAATTCACTTATCTTTCTGTTTTTCTTCTTCTCCGATGTGTTTCTTTTCATCTTTCTTTTTTTCTCTCCTCTCTTCAATTTACTTACCTTTCTTTCTCTTTCTTTTAGTATTTTTATTCTTTATTTTTTTCATTTTCTTCCCTTCTTCTTTTCCCTCCTTTGATTCATTTATCTTTCTGCCTCTTTCTCCTTCTCCCTGTTTCTTTTCTCTTTCTTTATTCTTTTATCTTTTTTCCTTGCTTCTTCTTTTTTTCTCCTCTTCTTAATTTACTTAACTCTCTTACCCTTTTTTTTACTTACAGTATTAACAACATTAGGATACAGGTTTGATTCCTGTTGGAGGACACATATTTTCTATGAAAATTTCTCAGTCATGCAGGCTGGTAAATGTTGTTAATACTGTTTATTATAAACAGGGCCTTTACTTAAATATTTGTATCTATAAAAAAAAAAAATGTATGAACATAAAATGTCTTAAAATAATTGTTGGACTTTGTCCATTTCATTATATATATATATATATATATATATATATATATAAAACAAACAAACAAACACACTCTCTGAGGTTTGGTCATGGATGCAATAAGGTAATTTGATTTGTGGTCCCCACTTATCCTCAGAGATTCCAATCCATTTTTTCCTTACATACAGTTTTGTCTTTCTTTTCTTGTTGAAACGCATTGTTCATCTATTTTCCACCTTGTCTCATTTCCCAGATTATGTAAGATAATATTTAAACACTGGAAAAATGTAATAAAATTATGGAATATAAATGGTCATACCATTAACAATGGTTACTGTCTATCGCCATTTTCTTGCCATGTTCCTGCAGACATCAAGTCATGCTCTTGACCTCATCCCTCTGAGTTCAGTGTGAAGGCACTGTCTGAGCAATCTATCCCTTGGCACCAGGTTTAAGTTAATAGTTCACTTGTGTTCCTAAAGTAATGGATGTTCATATCATATTAAAGATAGGTGCTAGCATTTTTCTTTTATTGCAAAATGATTTTTGCCAATATTTATATCTTTAGAAATATATATATATATATATATATATATATATATAGTTGTATATTTAGGCAGCAATCCTTCCTTTATGCATGTTTCATTAAAAATGACAGACAAGGTACTATGGTTAAGCTTTTTATTTAATTTTTATTGTGTTCTAACAAGAGCTTTCTTTTCTGGACAAAAGGTGTGTAAGAACTGTCCAAATGTTTTATATTTCCAAGCACTTTCGGCTATACCTTTAGCCATTATCAAGGATGATTTGATTTTTCAGCTTAATTGAGTGTGTGCGTTCTGTGTATGTCTTAGTGTGTGGTAGGGATGTTTTTAATTTACGAATACGGTTAGCACATTGTGGCTTTGTTTGTAGTTAATATTGTTAAGAGTTGGCTTTTTCTTTTTTTATTATTAAAGCTTCCATTATTTTTAGTTTTTTTTTTTTGCAGGTGGATGCAGTTAATATATTTGTGTTTTCTACTAGTATGTTCCTAATGGTGTCGGGTAAATTTTGTGTGTGTTTAAATGGGTTCTAATGGAATGTGATCAGATAGGTGTAATGTAAGAAATATAAAACATTTGGTTCTTAACCGATTTTGTCTAGAAAATGAAAGTCTTGTTAGAACACAAGAAAAATTAAATAAAAATTTTAACTCATAGATACCTTGTCTGTCATTTTTAATTTTGCATGAATATATATATATATATATTAGAATATCCTAGGCCAAATGTTATTATCTGAAGAAATTGTAACATTGAAATATATCGTTCTTAGTTGAATCAGGTGTTCTTAGCATCTCTAGATATCTGTCGAGTTTGTAATATCTCAAAGTTGCTAGCATGTATTTGCTTTGAGGGGTTATTAAATGGATTTTACTATAAATAAATCCTGACCCTTCTTTGAGAGTGATCCTGAGCTAAAATTTGCATTTTAATACCAATATTTTTTATTGTATTGATGTTAAATCAAGTGACAGTTTTAAATTTCTCAAGGGTGATATGAAATGGATAAATATAGTAGACATCTGGGACTGGAGATTTTGCACTCTTGGAGGGCTAAGGAATGTTGAGTGACAGTATTGGTGTGGCTGAGATTTTGGTCATAGAGAACATCACAGTTACCTCTGCTTATATGTTTGATTGATTTGTTTTTCACAGTTTATCAACCCTTTGCAGGTTATTTAAAGCCAGAATTTGTTTTCGAGTTAATAATGGTTTAGTAATATAAGCCAAATAATTGGTGCAAATGGAACTGAACAAAACAAAATTAGATCCTAGCTCTTGTCCAGCCCACAATTATACGATTATGACACAGGAAGGGTCACCTCTGAAGCAGTTGGGACTTCATTTAATCCATTGATCAATAAAATAGTGAGCCAACTCATACAACCATTATCACAGGCTCAAAATTGTAGGTAGGACAACTGCAATGATAACAGCAAAAATTGCAATATGAGCACTGGTAAAAAATGACCATGAAGACATTGGGTTTATAATAGTCAGAATTATAACGGATGTCCCAAAGGACATATGGCACAGTGGATAAAGGCGTTAATTAAATCCATTTACAGGACCCAAAGTGTTGAGTTCAATATTGTTTTTAAATAATTTCTTAAATTAAAGGGATATATTGATAACGGGGAATTAACAGGAGATAACTGATAACTGACATCCATTAGACATGGCACATGGAACTAGAACAGTCTACCCCAGTGAGCGAAATAAAGGGTTCAGTTCAACATTCCAACCACCTGAAGAAGGCTGGAGCATACAACAGCCGAAACATTGTGATAAATATGGCAACAAAGATAAGGATGATAGTCCTGATAATGCAAATAGTGTACATAATACCTCATCACAGAAATATAGACAGGTTATGTAAAGCCATAAAATAATTTTTAGATTGTAAGAAGTTTTTTTGGAGACGATAATTTAGTGATACAGTTCTTACTAATTAACCCATAGGTTGGAGGGAGAAGAAGTGAATTCATACCTAATCAGAATTTGATAACCAAAAATTTTGTGGATATAAAGTGGGGGATTAATCCATAACACAATCAATATATTAACTGATCCCCCAGTTTGTGACCACAGTAGTTTCTGTATATTTCCATTCCGGAGAATATCAATAAATCTTAGAAACATGCCTGTGTAGCTAATCAGTATTTGACTGATTCATTTTCTACTGCTTATCAACCCTTTGCAGGTTATTTAAAGCCAGAAAATATTTTTAGATTGTAATAATATTTTGAGATAATGATTTAATAATAGAAGTCATATTAATTAACCTGTAGCTGGGAGAGAGAAGAGGTGAATTTGTAACCAATCAGAATTTGATAAACAAACAAGAAATTATCATGTGGGCATAAATGCTATCCATTTTAGTTTTTATCTTTTATTGAAAAGTCCACTGGTGATATTTTGGGATTTTAATAAAAAAATTATTTGGTACAATTTTTTAAATTTGATTTATCCGATTCAGTCTATGATATTCAAAGAAGGATGGTCCTTGAAAAAAAACCACAGTCTTTTTTACTCAAGAAGGTTTTTTAACTATCGAGTGGCAAATCCTGTTCCAAATTTTTTTTCAAAAAAAGAAATCTGATCAAGTTTGAAACAGACTCTTTTTGACTGAAATTCAAGTAATTTTGATTTATATCAATGTTGTGGCCAGAAGCCAAAAACTTAATAGTGAAATGCAGCTCCAACATGAGTCAAAGAGGAGTTGAAAATGAGGAATTAAAAATTTTATTAATTCTTTTGTCATTTCACAGTGGATAATTTTTTTAAAATTCAGGCTCTTAAAATGGGAAGGAATTTTAAAAACAGTTGTCGTGTACATTGCTTGCATTTCTCTTGCACTCTCTCTCTCTCTTTAACTTTTCTTTTTCTTTTGACAGTCTTTGGGTGGTGTTATAGTCTGTCTTAACAAGTTTTGATACTCTGCAACTGAAGTGAGTCATCAGAATATTGATTGTTTGCCATTTGTTATGATGGACTGCAAGCAATTCTGTGATAATAATGGCAGTGTGATTTAACTGATACCTTAACGCACGACTCTGGTATCATTGCCTGTTGTTAGGACCTATAATAAATTGACTTTGTTCCCTTTAGAACACTCTCCTCTGTGAAAGGATCACCTATTGGGT